GCAAAACTCTATATTTCTATTTGAGGGTAATCCTAGCAACTCTTTAGGAAACACATCAGTGAACTCCCTCACCATTGGCATATCGGCCACTTCACTCACCACCATCTGGGCGTCCTTAACCAATGCCAAGAATCCCTAACATCCATGACTGATCAATTTTTTAACCTCTAAGGCTGAAAACATACTACCCATCACCATACTACGATCCCTTTGGATACTAAATAGTTTCTCTCCTGGATAGTTAAAATGTATCACCTTATAATGGCAATTAACACTAGCATGATTGGGTGACAACTAGTCCATGCCCAATATCGCATCAAACTCCAATGTGTTTAGCAAAATTAGATTTACTGAAGTGTACTTACTCCTCATCCGGACCATACAATTTCCATACACATGTCTTGCCACAAACACCTCTTTCAAAGGCATGGTAATTACTAAGTCTTGCTCCTTTTTGGAGCATTTTATACCTAATTTAGATGCAAAGTATAGGGATACAAATGAATGCATAGCACTAAGGTCATAAAATACACGTGCAATAACAAAACAAATGGATAGTGTACTTATAACAACCACATTGGATGATTGTGCAACCTATTGAGTTAGTGCATAAACTCTGGCTAGTCCTCAACCAGCTGTCCCTTAAGCTCTAGTTCCTCTACTTTAGGATGAACTATTAGCACCTCAACCTCTAGCTCTTCCAACCTCTTTACCAATTCGAGCAGCCACGGATGGGGTAGGTAAAGCTAACTATGTCTGTCTCTGTGTCGACCCTTGAGTCTTTTGACCATTCGGACAATCTCTAGCAAAATGACTAATCAACCCATTTGAATAAGAAGAGGTGGATCTTTGGAGACATTGCCTTTTATTCCCTTTACTAAATGAAGAACATAATGCTCTATCTCCTTGAAACTATCCCATAGCCTATTGCCTTAGTGGTTTGACAACCATCTTACTTTTATAACTACCACTAAAACTACTCTCTTGTTACGATGTTTGTGAACCTCTCTGCTAGCCCTTAATCCTAGCATTCTTGAACTTATCCTACCCTCTTCTATTCTCTATATCCTTCATCTCTAGCCTTTGAGCACAATTCACTACCTTAGAGTAAACAATAAACTCTTGGGGCACTACAACCCTATATAGAGGTTGTAACAATTCATTAACAAACCTCTTTGTCTCCTTAGAAGCCACTAAGTAGGGTGTATACTAGGACAACTCAGTAAACTTACTACTATACTCTGGCACTGTCATATTCAGAGTTTATACCAACATCTTGAACTCATGGGTTCTAGCCTCCTTTACACTGATAGGTAAAAAATGCTCTAAAAAAGCTATATTAAACTCCTACCATGTAATCAATACAACATTAGGCATTTTGCCTTTACGTAACTAATCATGCCATTACCGGGCTACTCTACCTAACTTAAATGTAGCTAGCTCCACCATTCGAGTGCGAGTGCAACTCAAAGCATTGCATATGACCTCCATGTCATCCAAGAAATCTTGGGCATCTTGTGATGCATCTGATCCAAGAAATGTAAAAGGTTTTAGCTTCATGAACTTTGATAGCTAAACCTCGATCCCAACTCTAACCATGCTAGCTTGTGGCTAGTCAGCCTGACTTTGTAACCTAAGGGATGATTGGACAATAGGATAATCATCACCTCGTTGCCTCTAACCTTAGATCTCTTTAGCAAAAAGCTCTAAGGTTTGACTAACTTATTGTAAGTTGGCAACTAAATCCTCTAAAGTCACTACCTTAGTTGTAGGCACTACTACCTCGAGAACCTGTCCCTTAACTACTACTTTGGGACCCTGTTGCTCTATCTATGCATTAATGGAGGTACCAGCCCTCTTCAAACTAATATCCTAGTTGCATCTACCGCGATGTCTAGCAATGGGCATATGTGGCCTATTAGTAGTTTCTATGGGAGCCTCGAGCTTTGTCGCACCTTTAGAACTAGCCCATGCACTAAGCGTCATATCTTACCAGAAAAAAGTAACGTATACTTTAAGACTCAACACTATAGACACAAAGCAATACTAGATATATCTCTTAAGCATATAATAGGTGGACAAACAAGGAATTATATACGAGTCTATCATTCTTGATTTGTACCCGGATACATAAAACTTAGGACTCTAAACATTCTAGTGCTCTAAACATACGACTGACAACCAAGGAAAACTTAGGACTTTATGAATCTAGTGCTCTGATACCTATTTTGTCACACTGATTTTATGGTGGAACATGACTGGCATATGAACATCGATGGGTATAGCCTACTAGGCCTAAGTAAGCTTTTTTAACATACATCATTAAACATTCATCAATGCGAAAGCATACATAATCGTCCATAGGCATGCAGTATCAACTCATGCATACCATCATATGCAACATTACACATATATGGAATTTCTCAACGTATTATTGTAACTGTAACCTTTCATGTATCATCAAAACATCACGTTCTTAGTGCACCATAATATTTACATGTCTTAACACCTTCAGGTATCCATATGGGCTTTTGAGCCATTATATACATTTTTAACATAACATTCATAATATAAAGTGCTTAAACATTGGTTACATTAACATAACATGTTCATAATCTATAAGTATAAATATAACATAGACTGACTAGTTAATGGAACATGATCGACTCTTTAGGTATCAAGAGGCTGCTAGACATCTACTAATGAGGAATGAATGGATCAAATTTTTGTGAGATTAGTTACTAGCAAGAGAGTGCTATCATTTATCTGCAACAAAAATAGTGAAGGAGAAATAGCGTGTGAGTCACAAAGACTCCGTAAGTGGATGCGTAGGAAGGGGGCAAGCCAAAGGGAGAGTTTTTCATAAATTCATCATTATTGCCATAATGATCTTATAACATAGCATTTTAAACTTCTTTTAAATAACATTATGTGGACAAAAATTTTGCTTAAAAAATTGGAACTCATTTATCCTTGAAAACCTCTTAAAACTACTTGAAAATCCTTTTTTGTAACAATTCTATTGATACATGCAAGAAATCTATTGATACTTTTAAGAATGCATAGATACATTTCACACAGAACACCTTATGTAGCATTTTATTTCAAATGTATCGATACATGTTCACTCAACTTGAGATTTAGATCTTGAAGCCCACCTTAAGTAGATGTACTAGTACCGTTGCCTCCACCTCCTCTAATTACTCTAATAGGATGTGCAACAACAAGAGGGGGTGGAAAAGTTGCCTGTGCATGCCCATGAGTATTTCTCTAAGAAAAATGACTTGAAGGGCACTCTCTAGAAAAATGTCCAAGCTATCCACAAGTGTAATATAAGGTGGAACCTTGCATGCATTGTCCTTTATGCTTCCTACCATAAGTGGAACATGGAAAGAAAAAAGGATAATTTTACTTAGCACCTCGTTGACCTTGAGGTAAAGTCACTCTATGATCTCTGCTAACTCTGTCGCTTTTAGTATCTTTCCTTTAATAGGATCCCTATGAATCTCTAATAACTTTATGACACAGAGTTATTTGAGCTTGATTTTGATAGTAATTTAGCTTAGTTCTCGTAGTAATACAGAGAAATTAGTATATTTTATTTAATTATTTTAAATTAGTTATTTTAGATGAGTCAATCTAATCATAGTTAATTTTATGCTTAATTTGGTGTTAATGTGGTTAAGATAGGTTGTTATTGATTTATTTGTGCTTTTGTAGGTATTTGATGAAAGAAGAATTTTACTGAAAGAAGGAGAGCAATTTTGAAATGCAAGCTTTCACTATACATGTTTCAGTATTTTGGCTATAAATCTCTCTACAGAGCTCCAAATGAAGCGATTCTTGAACAATTAGAAAAATAAGATAAAAAAGCTAAAAATCTTGTCAAAATTGACATACTGCAGTAGTCTTAGAGCAATTACAATTTTTGTTAATTAATTGGGTAAAGCTACGACTCACATAGTCTAATGAGGAAATCCTAGTTCAAATTGACTTCTTTTTTTATCCAACTTGGCCTAACTTTAAAACCTACAAAAATAACCTTTAGGAAGACTTAAAGAGAAAAACGAAGAAACATCAGATTAACAACTAAGAGTCAAGCCATAAGAGTCATTGAAGCTAAGAAGAATTTGAAGGATTCAAAGAGACTTGGAGATCAAGAATACAACTCTTGAGCTTTTCTATCTTTTCTTTTATTCTCTTATTTTCTTAGTTTTGTTCTTAGTGTTTAGACTTTATTCAATGATGTTGTGTGACTTGATGGGGAACTAAATTTTTAATCTAAGATTATGATTGAACTCATTATGTAGTCTAAATTATCTCTTTCTCTTTTAATTATGTTTGATAGATTTAGGTTGTTTATTTTATTTTGTTTTTAATGCTTTTAATTGCATGATGACAAATTAAATTAAATTGGAAACCTAGGTTAAACCTTAACGAAGGAGATTTTGGTAACCTTAAATAAAATAGCGTATGATTGAATACACTTAGTTGATTAGGTAGTTTGATTTGCATATAGGGTAGACATACACTTATAAGCCATACGTAGCCAAAATTAGAGCACAAACTTAATAAATCTTTTTACAATATAATTTGCATAATCATAGAGTAAATTAATTGGGAGAGATATTTTTATAAAAAACTCGACAGAGACTTGTAAATAATTTAGGACTCTAGGTTAGCAACTTAATCCATTAAACTAAGTTAAGAGAGAGAGACTATATTCAAATGAAGTATTGAGAGATATCATAATCTTAGATTTGTTAATCACTAGAAGTAAAATTTGTTGATATATTAGTTTTAGTTTTAAATTTATTAATTTAAATTTTCCTTTTTAATTTTAATTGTTTAGATAAAATTAAGGTGTGTTAATTTTAATAGTTAACAATAAGGATTAATTCAATTCTCTGTGAGAGCAACACTCTACTCACCTCTATATTATCTTTGCAATACGTGCACTTGCATGAGTAGAAAATTGAACACTAATCTCCATGATGGCCCTAACGGCTTAATGAATCTCTATGGCCTCTACAGCCTCCAATCTTGGCCCTTTTGAGCTTAGGTTCATTTAATTGACCTTTCATATCCTTAAGCTTAAACTTTTGAGAACAATTCACCGCTTTAGAGTAGTTAGGGAACTTATATGGTGTGACATTGTACTCGACCACTAACATGTTTACTGTGTACAGTAAAGTCTCAAACTCGTGTCCTTTAGCCTTTCGAATACTATTTGGCAGGAGGCACTCTAAGAACATTGTGCTAAACTCCTCCCAACTCATCAGAGTAGCATCGGTTGCTTTATCACAACATAACATCTTATACCACCATCGAGCTACCTTATCGAGTTTGAAAATGGCAAACTGAACTGATTTGGTACTAGTGCAACTGAAGGCATTATATATCATCGTCATCTTATCTAAGAACTTCTGAGCATCCTTCGTCGCATCAAATCTCAAAAACTGTGGAAGCCTTAACCACATAACCTTTGATAGCACAACCTCATATGCAACCTTAGCAATCCCAGACTGATAAGGGTCATCATGACTCTGTGCTTTGAGGGTGGCCTGAACAATAGGGTGGCCTTCGCCCTATGTGCTTTAATCTAGTATCTCCTGAGTTAGTAGTTCCATAATTTAACTTACTGGTGTATGCTCTTGAGCCAATTAGATTGGTTAAGGAATGTATTGTCATTTAATGCATATTTAATCACATAATTATATGTGATAGAGGTTTTTCTTCATGTTAGTGTAGTAGTAAGGAGTTATTAAGTATTAATTAAATGAAGCCTATGGAACATGAAGGACTTATAAGAGAATTGTAGAGTTGTTACAAGTATGAGATCACAATACATCAAAGTCATGTTCCTAAAATTATTCCTGATCCTTGTATTGTCAAGATAGGGCATTGATAATGCTCAAAGATTGGTATATGTTAAGCCTCCTTACTTGGGAAGTAAGCAATCGATCTCATAGATTAAAGTTTATGGGATACTTGAGGATAACATGTGAGTACTTGTTAAAGAATAAGTTCACTGAACATAACCCACTATGAGAATTCCATTTGGTGTTTTACTCAAGTGTCTATGGAATATGTTTTCATGTGATAGTTGTGTTACTAGTCCTTGGATTTAAGACACCAGGTAATCTTGTATGGAGAATGACGTATTTTGATTTCACTCTTATAGGTCTGGAGGCGACCAGATGCCTAAACAAGGTGTTTTTAGGTATGCCATGAAGCATGCGAAAGTGAATAAGTGGTTAAGAGAGGATTCATCACCCCAAGTGATATGAGGGGATGTATCTCACTTGTTCTCAATTCTTGATGAACTTGTATAAAGTCTTTGGCCAAAGCATGATGAATTTGAAGAAAGTTAGTTTCCTAAATTCATAATGTTAGTCATGAATTATGAGAACTAATATGAAATGTCATAAGTAAACACTGAGCCAGCTTAATGACTTATCCTAAATATTTGATGAAAGGATTGTATTGCACTAAAAGGCTTTGTCAAATTCTTTAATTAATACATTTGGGTGGTCATGATGTATCGTTAATAGTATGTTTGGTTGGGAGAATGGCTAAGCCATTCCCCCTTTATTCCCAAGGAATTTTGATTCCTTTATTTGGTTGAAAAATAGTATAAGGAATAGCCATCCCTATGGAATGGCTATTTTCCAAAATCCTCCAAAACTAACGAATAGCTAATACCATCCTCCCCCATGGTATTAGCCATTCCATAGTTTGAGGAATAAACTCAAAAAATCATAGACCAAAATACCATTTATAAGTTTGAAAAATTACAACTTTATTTATATAAAATATTATTTATTCTCTCTCTTCCTCTCCCTTGATTCCAACTTTTAATAAAATATTAATATTTTAACATATTAATATTAAATTATAAATAAAATATTAATAGTTTAAAAAAATAAAAATTAAATTATAAATAAAATATTAATATTTAAATTATAAATTATGCATAAAATAAATTATAAATTATTCCTATTTAAAAAATAAATTAAAAATAAATAAACACAACACCATTTTAATTATATATCAAATATTAATAATTAAATAATCAATTATTAATATTTTAAATAAATTACCAATTATTAATATTTAAAAATAAAATAAATAAAATAAAATAAAAAATTAATCCTAATAATATTTAGATTAAATAAAATATTAATATTTTAAATAAATAATCAATTATTAATATTTAAAAATATAATAAAATAAAATAATTTATCATAATAATATTTAAATTAAATAAAATATTAATATTTTAAAATATTAATGACTAAATTATAAATAAATATTAATATTTAAATGGTCAATTATTAATATCTTAAATAAACTATCAATTATTAATATTTAAAAAATAAAATAAAATAATTAATCATAATAATATTTAAATTAAAAATATTAATATTTTAAAATATTAATGATTAAATTATAAATAAAATATTAATATTTAATTTATCAATTATTAATATTTAAATTAAATTAAATTAAAATAATTGATCATAATAATATTTAAATTAAATAAAATATTAATATTTTAAAATATTAATGATTAAATTATAAATGAAATATTTATATTTAAATGATTAATTAGTAATATTTTAATTAAATTCTAGATTATTAATATTTAAAAAATATAATGAAAATAAATAGTCATATAAATAATAAAGGGTGTTTTTGTCTTTTTATTTTCTATTCTTTTTTTATTTTAAAATTATTATTACCAACCAAACACTATAATAAGTCATAATAACTATTTCTATCCTATTCCATTTGTCGTACCAAACAAAGTAATAACTATTCTATTTTATTCCCACCTCATTGTATTCCCACATAATAATTATTCTATTCCATTCCAACCTATTACACCAACCAAACGTAACCTAAATGCTGCTCATAATTTATAAATATAAATCAATTATTAAATTGATATTTGATTATGATTTATATTTATTGCCAACATGTTAGAAGCTTAATGGGTCACATCCATTAAGTGACATGATTGAGATTAAATAAGGATAATTAATTAAGTTGGGCTTAATTGAAAAAAGATCAAAATAAAATTGAAAATTAATTAAGTTCATAGAGACTTAATTAAATTAAAATACAACTGGTGTATTTAGCGCTACAACTTAATTTGGCTATAATAATATGTTATGTTAGCAAACTAAAACTATATGCCTCCAACCACTTTTCAACTGTCTATACAATAAAAAAAGAAAAATAGTTTTCTTTGTCTGACAAAAATAAGATTCGATAAGAATTTTTAATCTTTTTGTTTTAGAAACAAAACTTGCTAGCACAAGTAAAAAAATCCTACCTTGGAGAAGGTCTTATTCAGTCACTGTATGGATTATTGTTATAGGCCAAACACTTGGGTGGCTGAAGATTTGATAAATCCTAAAGGCAAAGAAGCAAAGATTTCGGTTGTAGGATTTTATACTGTATTATTCTCTTTTTAGGTTTTTGTTTCATCACAAGCCTTTTGGATTTAATTGAGTCTTGATTACGATATCTAGAGTAAGGTATGTAACTCTTAAACTTATGAATGTTCATAATTAATTAGAAAATTACATGAAAAACATAAACATTGATCTTGTAAGATTCGATTATTTCTCTGATCAAATATTAGTTTGTTTTTTCACTACATTATATTTTTAATTTCTCGATTATTTTCATGTTTGAGCATGAGGTTGAATCCCAACATAACTAACTCCTTGTATGTTGGTAGCTAAATCCTCTACAGTCATTGGCTGAGCAGGTGGCACTACAACCTCGGGAGCCTATTCTTCAACTACTCTTGCGGGACCTTATCTTTTTATTTGTGCACTAATGAGGGTGTTAGTCCTCCCTGAGTTAGTGGTTATGGCATTTGCCACGACCTCTAATAATAAACGTATATGGACTGTTTGTGGTCTCCGCGGGAGCTTTACGCTCTATCACATCTCTAGCACTAACTCATGTCCCAGGGAGCATATTTCACCTAAACAAGAGTAACGTATATGATAAACCTTAACAATATAGACTTACAACATTGCTACACATGTTTCTTTTAAACATAAAGGGGTTAAACAAACAAGGAATTATATGCAGGTCTCCCGTTCTCAGTTTGTGCTTGTGTACACAAAACAAAAACAAGAGTCCTACATATGACTCAAAACATTCTACTGACAGTGAAAGAAATCCTAAGACTCTATGAATCTAGAGCTTTGATACCAACGTTGTCATATCCCATTTCTTGGAAGGATCGTGACCGGCGCATGGACCTAGATGACCATAACCTGCTTGCTTGGCCTAAGCAAGCCTTTTATCATAAACATCACTAAACGTTCATCATTGCATGCGGAAGCATCTTATAACATCCATTAACATATAATATCATCATGCATGCATTCATAAAACTTATTACACAATTAAGGAACTTCTCAACTTAATTATGTAAACTCAAGAATTTCATATATAGAAACAAGTGCCATTGTCATAGTGCTTAATAACATTAAACGTCAACAACACCCTCAAGTGTCCATGTAGGCTCTTGAGCCGTCATTATAATCTTATACATAGCATTATCAATGTAAAATACCCTAACATTGGCAACATTAAGATAAACATGTTCATAGTTTGTAAACATAAACGTATAGTAAGATCAACTCATCAACGGAGCATGATTTGACCTTCAGCTTGCAAATGGCTGCTAAATCACTTATCGAAAGAAGAACGAATCACGTCTCCTGACACTAGTTATTATCAATTTCTATCTACTATCATGGATCTATAAACAAAAATAATTAGGGAAAATAACATGTGAGTTACAAAGACTCTATGAGTGGATACAAGAAAGGGACAAGCTAGGGGATAGAAGTATTTTGAAAACATGCACTTGAAATCTCATGCCATTCATTAATCATTTAATCAAAAAATTCATGAAACAGATTATTTAACCACAATTCAAAAAACATTTTCTTGAAAACAAGTTTACATAACTTTTAGAAATTTTTCTGCCTTTGAAAAGCCTTTAAAACAAGTCAAAACATACAATTCTGTGACTCATTTATTGGTAGATGATTAACATTTATCAATAGATTTGATGTAGAATGCTTCTTGTTGAATTCTGTCAACTATCCATCGATAAATGTTCTACAATTTCACTTTTAATATTTTGACATGAAAGATAT